TATACCCTCCATGATTTTAAACTTGCCGAACAATGAAGGACATAAATGACTATTGGTATAATACCGAATGCATTTGAGCGGTCAAGAGTGTCAAATCTAGCAGAAATGATCTCAATTCCAGTGGTAATAAAAACAATTGTTTGGAGAAATAATTGCTTTCCGATAGATTCCCAATTCTAAACACTACGTTACCATGGGACCCACTGCCATGGGTGTAAATACAGTTAAAACTGGAAAAAAACCAGTTTGTGTCAATAATTAAACCAATTATCAAACAACACGTCCAAAAAAAAAATGAAAGGTCATATACACCCTTAACTTTATTTTCCATTCCTATAAACACTTGAGCAATCAGAGAAGAAAAAAGCCATTTCTACATGAAGATGTACACTCTGGTGTACACGTACCTCACATGAGAACGGGCTCCACGCCCATTAAATGCTTCCTGCCGACCTCCCATGTGAAGGACATGTACACCCCTATGTACGTGTAGCCGAACCCATCAGAGAAAAGATATAAAAAATCAACCATAGCCGAACCTCTGTTCATTTATTTCTCCCATATCCAATGGTATTAAATTGTGTAAACAACACATTGGCAGTCGAGAGGTAGTGACAAGTGATTAACTGAAAGCTCAGTCCTTCCAAATTTTGAAGTAAACTAAATATTAAGAATCAAAATCGAAGTACATAAAGAAAAAGAACTTTTGACTTATTAGGTGGAGAAGGTTTTATGGTAATTGATTACGATGAAAAGAAGTGAACATCTTATTTACCATAATGTCCAATTCTCTTCACTACAACGTACTAAATATGCTTTTTAAGACCACCTTTGTGGTAATGCATTAGTGACGCTATAGCTAGTAGAATAGCTCCAGATGCATATGGGCAAGCTCGTACATATTAAGGTAATTAAAAAAGGGGGGCCGGAGACCATGAAAGCTGATTCGTTTCATTTATTAACTGGAACTAAAGATTCAGCTTTCATATTTGATTGTCATTTGCCAATACAAGTTCTCGATTTTTGTGTTTTCATTAAGTTGCTGTTGGAATTTCCCATTTCTGTGGCAAGGGACCATGATCATATATGATTTCTCTGTGGCACGACCAGACGAGCTTTATTGCTTCCGGAGTTCCTATTCCGGCTCCTCTTGGATCTCCAGCTGGACCAAACCTGCAGTATATTGTTGTTTTAACATGTTTATCAACCATAAGTGCAGAAAAAGAGAGGAGTTTTTAATTTTCAAGCATGTTTGGCAAAGCTAAATCGATCAAACGCTTTTATCCACACATTTCGTATAACTCACAATTTAATATTCACTTTTTATCCACAAATTCCATATGATTAACAGCTTATAAGCAGTTAAGCACTTCCAAACAAGCACGAATTCATTTTGGACTAACCAGTGATTTTGAGGAGCACCCGTCGTTCTTGCTCTGAGCCCGGCATAAGTAGTTCCATTAACTGTTTTTCCAATTACTTCCTGCAAATGAAGATTGCTATGCACGCTAATTAATTGAAACGAGTCACTGAAATGACTTTAACAACATCAACTCAGTTGTAGAATAAAAAACAAAACACCACCAGGAAAGGCCATAACCTAACTTGATCTCCCTAAACCAATACTAGTGGTGGATTAGATTGGAACTTAATCTTTACAATTATCAGCATATAAAGCAATTATTCTTTAGGAAGCCAAGAGGATACATGCAAAATGAAATTGAGCCACTAT